TTGGGCTCTCCAGCAAAAGTAGCTGCAGCTTTGGCAAAGTAGAAGGTTAGACTCCCGTACATACCCCTAGGAAAGAGGCTGAATCCAGAAGGCCAAGTAGATACAGCCCACAGGCCCCACTTCCATGGTACCTCACAAAATAAGACCTACTGGTTTGGGATCTAGCCAGCTACCAGTAGTAGCACTGCACCTCCCTAAGAAGGAGCTCCCAGGGAGAGGGGTAGGTTGCCATCTTTGCTGTTCAGACACCTTATCCATTCCAACCTTCAGACTTTTGGCAGTCTGAACTGACCAGGGCAGAAGGAATCCCACAGCATAGCAAAGATGCTCTACCAAAATGTGGCCAGACTGCAGATTTGCTTTTTTAAGCAAGTTCTGATTCTGTTCCTCCTCCCTGGGCAGGACCTCCCAACCAGGGTCTCCAGCCACTTTCTACAGGTGCTGTTGGACCAACAACAGGTCCATACCACCCTGGGACAAAGCTCCCAGAGGGAGGAACAGGCTGCCATCTTTGCTGTTTCACAGCCTTCTGGTGACACATCCAGGTTCTGGAAAATCCGAGACGACTAGGGTCTGGAGGGGTCGCCAAGCATACTGCAGCAGCACTTCAGAAAAGTGACCAGATTATTACATGGGTGCCTGTTCCCTTATCTTCTTACTAGTCAGATCCTCCAGGCTAGGGCTCCAGCCACCCCCCACCAGAGTTATCAAGCCAGTACAAACTCAGCAACTCCTGTATAGAGCCTCCAGGGGCAAAAAAAAGCCCCTCTGCCACTGCTTCTGCCACTACTGAACTAATGAAGAAGCAAAGACCTTAAGTTGCCTTATCCATACCTCCAACAAGCTGCAGGTGAACCAAGACGAGGCCAGTCTGTCTCCCACAGGTCCCACACACTCCCCAAAGCTCATAACCAGACAGGAAACACCTTGCTTGGGCCCACAGAACAAACCTCCATCTTAGGCTGACTTTACTGAGTGATTGCTGACCTGCATCTCTCTGGGAAGGAGCCCCTAGGATTCAAGAAAATGACCCTTGGCCACAACCACTACTGAGATCTCTTCCTCTTCTGCCTCTAAGCTGGGAAAGGAATATAAACTTTGAGATCATCCCAGAGCTACAGTGGGCAGCTCAGGAGTGCCAAGTCATGAACTACAGTGGGCACTCAAGGGGAAGAGGAGCCCACACTTTCAGAGCATGGAGAGGGAACATGGCTGCAACTGTGAGATAACATAAGGGAGCCACACTGCTGAACAAAAGTCTACCGACTGACCTGTAAGCCTAAGTGTCACCTGCTAGATCAAACCCCAAACTTCAACACAAAAAAATACATCACTAGCATAACCCACTCTAAAAGCAGAAACAATAAGTCAGCTTCAAATAAAGACCCCATACAAATACTCAGCCCAGTGAAAATACCCAGAAAAGCAGTCTACTGACTGTACTCAATCTCTAGCACAGTTAAAGGAACAGCCACACACAGAGATGGGAAAGAACCAATGCAAGAACTCTAGTAACTAAAATGGCCAGAATGTCATATGTCCTCCAAATGACTGCACCAGTTCTCTAACAAGAGTTCTTAACCAGACCAAATTGGCTGGAATGACAGAAATAGAATTCAGAATATGGATAGGAAAAAAGATAATTGAGTTTCAGGAGGATAGCAAAACCCAATCCAAGAAAAGTAAGAATCACAATAAAGTAAGACAGGAGTGAAGGATGAAATAGCTGGTAAAAAAAAAAAGAACTTAATAATTTGGACAGAGATGAAAAACACAAGAATTTCACAAAAAAATCACAAGTATTAACAGCAGAATAAACCAAGCTGATGAAAGAATCTCACAATTCAAAGATTGGTTCTTTGGAATAAGATAGTCAGACTAAAATAAAAAAAAAAAAAAAGAAAAAGGAATAAACAAAGCCTCCAAAACATACGGGATTATGTAAAGAGACTGAATCTATGAATCATTGGCATCCCAGAAAGAGAAGGGGAGAAAGCAAACAACCTGGAAAATATATTTCAGGATATCTTCCATGAAAACTTCCCCAACCTTACTAGAGAGGCCATGAGTCAAATTCAGGAAATACAGAGAATTCCTGCAACAGTCTATATAAGATCATACTCAAGATACATAATTGTCAAATTTCCAAGATCAAAATGAGAGAAAGAATGTTAAAGGCAGCTAGAGAGAAAGGGTATGGTCACCTACAAAGGGATTACCATCAGGCTAGCAGCAGACCTCTCAGCCGAACCCCTACAAGCCAGAAGAATTTAGAATGAATGTTCTTAAAAAAAAAATCTTCAACCAATAATTTCGTATCTAGCTAAACTAAGCTTTATAAGTGAAGAAGAAATAAGATACTTTTCAGATAAGCAAATGTTGAGGTACTTTATTACTACCAGATCTGCCTTACAAGAGATCTTCAAAGGAGCACTAAATATAGAAAGACTGCTACCAGCCAATACAAAAACACACTTAAACACACAGACCAATGTCACTGTAAAGCAACCACACAAACAAGCTAATATAACCACCAGCTAACAGCACAATGACAAAATCCAATCCACACATATGAATACAAAACTTAAATGTAAATGGTCCAAATACCCTACTTAAAAGGTACAGAGTGGCAAGCTGTATAAAAAAGTAAGCCCCAATTGAACATGCTTTCTTCAAGAGACCTATCTCATACATAATGACACTCATAAGCTCAAAATAAATGGATGGAAAAAAATCTACTAAGCAAATAAAAAAACAGAAACTGCAGGGTTGCAATCCTAATTTCAGATAAAACAGATTTCAAACCAACAAAGATAAAATACAAGGAAGGGCATTACATAATGGTAAAGGGTTTAATTTAACAAGATCTAACTATTCTAAATATATATGAACCCATTACAGGAGCAACCAGATTCATAAAGCAAGTTCTTAGAGACCTACAAGGAGACATAGACTACCAAACAATAATAGTGGGAGACTTCAATACTCCAATGACAGTATTATACAGATCACTGAAACAGAAAATTAACAAAGATATTCAGGACCTAAACTCATCATTGGACCAAATGAATCTGATACACTTTTACAGAAGTCTCCACCCAAAACCAAGAGAATATACATTCTTCTCATCACCACATGGCATATACTCTAAAATAACCAGACATAAAACAATCCTCAACAAATACATAAGAACTTAAGTCATTCCAAACACTTTCTCAGACTACAGCACAATACAAATGGAAGTCAACCTAATAAAAATCACTCAAAACGATACAATTACCTAGAAATTAAACAACATAATAAAAGGCAGAAATCAAGCAGTTCTTATAAAATAAAGAGAACACTAGACTAGGGGTCCTGACCAGTTAACTAGTATTTAATGCCTCTTTTGGGAGTCTACTCACCCATTCTGCAAAGAATTTCTAGTATTCCCGAAACCCTAACAACTAGTGATATCAACATCTATACTCTCTCCAAACTCAGAAAAATAGAAAGTAGCAACTTTTCACAAAATGACAAATATAAATCATTTGAAATTGTGGGCTCTCAAACTGCTGGCTGTCAGAAACCTAGGATTTTATAAATTACTTAAGTGAGTCTGTAAATGTATAATTTTTTTTTTTTTTTTGAGACGGAGTTTCGCTCTTGTTACCCAGGTTGGAGTGCAATGGCGCGATCTCGGCTCACCGCAACCTCTGCCTTCTGGGTTCAGGCAATTCTCCTGCCTCAGCCTCCTCAGTAGCTGGGATTACAGGCATACACCACCATGCCCAGTTGATTTTTTTTTTATTTTTAGTAGAGACCGGGTTTCACCATGTTGACCAGGATGGTCCCGATCTCTTGACCTCGTGATCCACCCGCCTCGGCCTCCCAAAGTGCTGGGATTACAGGCTTGAGCCACCGCTCCCGGCTGTATAATTTAAATTTCATTTCAAATATTGGAATTGAAAATATGAACATAAAAATTTACTGCTGATTGAGTATCCTTAACCCAAAAATCTAAAATCTGAAATGCTCCAAAATCTGAAATTTTTTGAGCAACAACATTAGGTTCAAAGGAAATGCTCATTAGAGTCTTTTGGATTAGGTATTCTGAACTTGTATGTATATATATATCTATAATGGAAATATTCCGAAATCCTAAAAAATATGAAATCTGAAATATTGTCATAAGCATTTTGGAGTCATGATACTTAACCTGTATATGCCAATTTTAGCATATAAGAAACCACTAACATGTTAACCCTCATTTATGGCATTTATAGTTAGTAAATGCTATAAATTTGAACTTAAGAAAATTGGTTATAATAAAATTCATTTATATTTTATATATTGAGTTTCTAAGAAAGATTTTAAGAGTTGCTCTGTTTTTAAACAAAGTGAAAACCATCTAGATTCTAGACAATATAGAATCAAAGAATCTGAAGAGAATGAAAATAAGAGACTGAACTGTTACTATTTCGTAACTCTTCATACTCTAATGCCAATCAAACCCACTGGATATTATAGTATGTTCAATAGTAAAATCTTAGTAAAAAACACTTTGTATTTAGTGAAAATACATGTTCTATGTAAGCCAGTGTTTTGAAAATTATAATGAACACAAGGTCAATGTTGAGATGTAGCAAACCTTTTCTTTAGCATAAGAGGTAGATTGGGTGTATACTTATTCTTCATCTTTGCCATAATTCCTATCTATAGAATGAAGGATTCAAATGCCTTCAAGAATATGCACCAGAGAAACACAAAAACCAGGAAAATATCCCAGTATTCTGGTGTTGTTTGCAAAACATCTTAAGGTCTCTCGTATGTAATGTTATCTTATAAAAACTTATGCAAGACCATTCCGGGATCCAGTTTGAGAGTAATTTAACTACTAGAATTCAGAAGAATCCAAGAAATGTTCTTTTGTGTTTTTTTAACCACACACCATTTAAATGAAAGGATGCAATATAAATAAGCAATATCCCACCCTTTAAAACAGCATATGTAAAGGATACTCTTCACTATTCCGGATGTCAACCACCAGGAGCTTTGGTTTACTGGACTTTGTTTTCTTGGTAGGTGTTTTGAAGTGGCCTGTCACTGTGAGCTCACACAAGTCAATCAGGTCCTCTGCTGAAATCCGTGGTGATACTTCTGATTTTAGGTCATTTAATGGGATGGATTCTCTTGACTGAAAAATAAAAAATGTACAAACAACAAAAATACTGAGAATATTACAGAAAAACAAAATTATCCTCAGTAATAGAATATCTTGATAGCAAACAATACAGCATATGAGAGAAGAGGAACCCATCTGATTTTCGCAGTCTATTGTGTAATTCAGTGGTCTCCAACTCCCAGGCCATGGATTAGTACTGGTCCATGGCCTATTAGGCACCGGGCCACACAGCAGGAAGTGAGTGGCAAGTGAGTCAGCAAAGCTTCATCTGTATTTATAGCTGCTCCCCATTGCTGTTTTACCACCTGAGCTCTGCCTCCTGTCAGATCAGTGGTGGAATTAGATTCTCATAGGAGTACAAACCCTATTGCGAACTGCATATGCGAGGGAACTAGGTTGCATGCTCTTTATGAGAATCTAATGCCTGATGATCTGTCACTGTCTCCCATCACCCCCAGATAGGACCACTTAGTTGCAGGAAAACAAGCTCGGGGTCCCACTGATTCTAACTTACAGTGAGTGGTATAATTATTTCATTTTACATCACAATGTAGTAATAATATAAAGTGCACAATAAATGTAATGTGCTTGAATCATCTCAAAACGATCCTTCCACCCCAAACCCCAGTCCATGGAAACACTGTCTTCCAGGAAACCAGTCTCTGGCACCAAAAAGGATGGGGACTACTGGTGTAACTGATTTCTTACTATTGAGGTTTACTTCTTTATTAGTTACACCTATAAAAAGGCATTATTTATTTGATTAACTGCAAGCTCCTGGCTCAAACATGCAGCAAGAGATGAGGCAAAGTTTTCCTTATAAGAGTGCTGTGTATTTAAAGAAAAAAATAGCTCCTTTAAGTACATTTCACTTTTCTTTAAATATAATTACTGTTGCTGTGAATTGCATTAATTTCACCTCAGGTAATATGAGAAATTGTACTGTAATTAGGCATACATAGCAATTAAAGAAACTGGTTCTAACATATGTATTGAACTTTCATAATATAATTTATGTTACATATAAATGAGTAAGTGGAAACTTGATTCTTCACTTGATTCTTGGAGATGAATAAAGAACAACTTAATGCTTTCTTAAATAGTAAACCAAATTAACAATGAGTCTTAACTACGAAGGAGGTAAACTCAGACTCCAGACTATCAAACCCATTCATTGGTCTGTGTCTATGATATAGCATAAGAATGATTCAGACTAAGGGCTATTTACAATTATTCTATATGTTTCTTAGTAGAAAAAAGGATGAGCCTTCCCCCGTAACAGGCAATATAATACCACACAACTAAATTCAACATAAATTTATTGAGCACTAGTGATCTCTTGAAATTTATGTGGCATAACTTGAGAATTTAAACATTTAAAAAATTCAAGTGATTAAAATATGAGGATTCAAACAATTTCATTTATATGTTTCATAAGTTATCAAAATAGAGTCTAATAATTATCTTGTTTACTCATTTTCTCTCTTTCCTCAGTTGCATTGTGGAATTCTACACTTAGAATGTCCAATTTAGAATTTCTAGGTAGAAAAAAATAAACCATATGAATCATTTACCAGACAGACTTATTTTTTTAAAAAAGGTTTTCAATTGGAGTTTGATGTCAGCTCTCATCCCTTGGGTTTCCCCAGCTGTGGTCTGAATTCTCCAGTGGTATAGCACTTGTTCTCTCACGTCATTAACTTTTAAATAGAAATAGAAATTGCTGAGCTTTATGGGTTTATGGCTTTTAACAAAAAAATAGGCACTAAGAATCTTAACTTTTTAATATTGAATTAAAGCTACTTAAACATTCTGAAATTAAAAATGCCTCAGAAAGATTAAAGAGTTTTGAAAGCAGCAAGTCACACAATCAATGTTTCCATCTCCTTTTTCAATAGATTGCAATCTCTACAGGTAGTTTTTCCAGTCTTCACATGAAGTCATACATTTATGAAGATGAAATGAAAAACTTTTTGATTAGCCTAGTTCCACTTTTAGTCATTTCGTGATGAATGTGGCATTTCAAACTGAAGTTTCATCTGAGTAAAAACAGTGCTCTGGCTGATGAAGAAGAGGATTTGTCCAAAGTATTCTCTATGAAGAACTGACTGATTTATATACAGATTTGACCTTGGCACTGGTTCCAATCAAATGCATCATATGGGAGTTTTTCAAAGGAAAGAGTATTGCTACATGAAATGGTAAGAACAGAAGGAGAGGAACTGCTGACAAATTCAAATGTTCTAAGCTTCCATCAATATGGTATATGTAAAGAATGTGAATGTATACAAGTTTTTCCACAAATTAATTTTAGGATACTAGTAAATTAAATTTAGAACAAATTATACTATTTTGCTTTACGAAGAAAATAATTACAATATTAAAAACACAGAATTGGCCAGGTATGGTGGCTCACGCCTATAATCCTAGCCCTTTGGGAGGCCAATGTGGGCGGATCACCTGAGGTCAGGAGTTCGAGACCAGCCTGCCCAACATAGCTAAAACTTGTCTCTACTAAACATACAAAAAATTAGCCAGGTGTGGTGGTGGGTGCTTGTAATCCCAGCTACTCTGTATGCTGAGGCAGGAGAATCACTTGAACCCGGGAGGCGGACCCTGCAGTGAACCGAGATCACGCCACTGTACTCCAGCCTGGGTGACAAGAGCAAAACTCAATCTCAAAAAAAAAAAAAAAAAAAAAAAAAAAACCGACAACAAAAGCAAAAAACTACAAGGAATTTAGTTTTTCTAAGTTTTATAAGCAAATTTACTATTCATTGTAAAATTTCCACTTAGAGGCATAAAGGTAAAACTGCACAACTTTGGTCTTACTTAGTATTATAGACATTATGTGTCTATATCACATTTTCCTTGTGTGAAAGGGGGTTTCAAATTCACGAGACTTCGTTTATGGGTAATGGACAAGACATAGGATAATTATAAAACAACACTGGAAATGTCTATCAATTTATCATTTATGTCCAAGAGCCTCTATATACAAGGCATATTAAGCTTAGATGTCCACCCAGCAATAAATCCATGTATTTACAGGCAACTGATTCTTAAGGCTGCCAAGAACTTTCAGTGGGGGGAAGGACAGTCTTTTCAATAAATAATGCTAGAAAAACTGAATATCCATATGCAGAAAAATGAAACTAGACCCTTTTCTCTTACTATATGCAAAAATCAGATGAAGATGAATTGAAGACTTAAATATAAGACCTGAAACTATAAAGCTACAAGGAAACATTGTGGAAATGCTTTAGAACACTGTTCTGAGAAATGATTGGATAAGATCTCAAAAGCACAAGCAACAAAAGCAAAACTAGACATAGAATTACATCATTCTAAAAAGCTTCTTCACAGCAAAGAAAACAATCAACTCAGTGAAGAGGCAATTTACAGAATGGGAGAAAATATGTGCAAACTCTCTATCTGACAAGGGATTAATAACCAGAATATATAAGGAACTCAATAGCAATAATAAAATAATCTGATTTATGAATGGACAAATGATCTGAATAAACATTTCTCAGGAGTAAACATACAAATGGCCAAAAGACACATGAAAAAAAATGTTCAACACGATTAATCAAAAGAGAAATGCAAATGAAAATCACAATGTGATATCATCTTATCTGGGTTAAAATTGCTGTTATCAAAAAGGCAAAAAAATAGACGTTAGCAAGAATGTGGAGAAAAGAGAATGTTAGTACTCTATTGGTGGTAATGCAAATTAGTATAGCCCCTAGGGAAAACAGTATGGAGGTTCCTAAAAAAACTAAAAATAGATGCACCATATGATCCAGCAATCCCACTGCTGGGCATATACCCAAAAGGAAGGAAATGAGGATGTCGGAGAAATACACACTCCCATGTTAATTACAGCACTATTCACAGTAACCAAGATACTGAACTAAACTAAGTGTCTATCAATGGATGAATGGATAAAGAAAATGTATATACACTAATATACACAATGAATTACTAATCAGCCATTAAAAAAGGATGAAATCTGGCCAGGCACGGTGGCTCATGCCTATAATAATCCCATATTTTATCATGCCACTGCACTCCAGCCTGGGTGACAGAGCAAAACTCCATCTCAAAAAAAAAAAAAAAAAAAAAAAAAGAAGAAAATTCCTATCATTTGCAGCAAAACTGGATAGAATTGGAAGTCACCACGTTAAGTGAAACAAGCCAGATACAGAAACGCAAATATCACACGTCTCACTTGCATGTGGAAACCAAATAAGTTGATCTCATAGAGGTAGAGAGTAGAATAGTAGTTGCTGTGAAAGGCAGACAGGGTGAATTAGGGACACAGGGAGAGTGGTGGGGGGAAGTGGTGGTGTTGTGGGGGTGGGGATGAAGAGAGGCTGGTTAATGAATATGGAAATACACTTAGAAGGAATAAGTTCTAGTGTTCAATAGCACAGTAGAGTGACTGTAGTTAATAATTTATTGTATGTTTCAAAATAGCTAGATTTAAAATATTTCCAACACAAAGTAATGATAAAGACTTATGGAGCAAATTTATATAAAGTATTTATAATCGAGTCTGACAAGGTAGGTACTCTATAAATTTTTATCTTATACCTCTTTTCTCACCCCTCACCATTTTGCCCCTTATGTTTTAGCACTATTACACTACTTGCCTTTTCATGCCACTGTGCCTTTGCATATACTGTTCCTTCTCCTTAGAAAGCCACAACTGTCCATCTAATAAATCCCTGCTTTTCTTTCAAATCTCGGTTCAAACATTACTTTCTATGTGAAGAAAGCCTTTCTTTTTAACTCCTGACTGACTTAGCTTCTATTCTGTGTCTTCACAGGTATCTGGTATGCATATTTATTACAATGAGATTAATCATTTCCCACTAGACTAAAAAGCTCCTCAAGCATGAAAAAAAGGATTTTTACACCTTGTTTTCCTCAGGACCCAGCGTATTATCTGACACACAGAAAGTATTAAGATATATTTATTGATTATAAAGTAAAAAATTATATTT